ATACTTCCCGCTTTCCTGGGCTCTCTCACCTCTACATAGCGCTTTGGGACTGAGCTTAGGGGATAGAGAGACCCGGAATGAGTGAATCAGGCACCGTGTGACGAAGATGGAGCGTGTGAGATCACAGGGTAGGGGGCTCACTCACTGATATCTTTCCTCTCTCCTAAAGCTTAGTCCTGATCGCGATCTAGTCACTAGGAGGGCGCAGACGAAGAGATTAAAGCGCTAAATGGAGCTAGCGCCAAGAATGAATGTCATATTCGTAATCAGGACACCAAATAACCCCTACCCAGAAGTTTACACCGAATTTGGTGAAAACAATGTCGTGACAAGGTGACGCCAACTGGCGCCAGATGGCGCCAAAAATGAATGTCATTTTCGTAATCAGGGCATCGAATTACCCCTATAGGCAAAGTTTCGACGAAAAATAAAATTTTGAGATTTTGGGGTTGTAATAGTTGAATAGTGCCGAAAGAGCAGATTGTAGATAATGCCTTTCATTTCAATATCATTTCATCAGCGTTGTAATTGTAAACTCAAACACCTTTCGACCGCTACACCTTCTAGAGTTCTTGAGGATGAATGGGATGCTCGAATAAATATGATAATGAATACTGGGCATTCCGTTTTGAGATATTCGACCGCTAAATTACCTCGATACTCGACGCATAGTGGTTGTTTACATCATCACTTTAGCTGTGCACTTCACTGCGCTTATCAAACAGTGAGATACAGCCAAGATGGGCAGCCTATGCAACGGACAGTAATACATTTAACGAAGCAGCTATAATTTAGCGGTGAAACCTAAAGCTTCATCGATTGTCAGTTCTATCAATGCGCGCGGTAGCGGGCGGAGCTAAACTGGTAAATTTAATAATTAGTTATTCTAGTTATCAGTTGCGGGATCACTTTCTCTCGTACCATCTACTTCGGAAAACCGAAAACGGGTAGAGCGCCCAGTGCAGTCCACACACCACAAGTGACGACGGCCAAGGAAAAAGAAAAGAAAACGACACTTTCTTCTTTTGTAATTTGTGGTGTGTGGTCTGCACTGTGCTCTTTCCGTTTTCCGAAATAGAGAGTATGTTCTAGCTATGCTATGTACTTTCGCTCTCAACAGCTGGACATCTTTGATGACAGAAAGTATTTGCCATGGTCTGAGCAGCTTTCAGTGCTCTGCAACAAAATACTTTCCCCTGATGGAGTGGACCCATATGCACGGCTTGACCTCTTCCCAATATAGTGATTTGAACTTGGAGACAACCACGCTCCGAAATTCTAAGCTAGAGGCATAATAACACAAGAAATAAAAGTTAATCAACTAGTCCAACGATGTTGAACTGAAGCAATAATAACTACCAGTTTTGCACCGCCCGCTATCGCGCGCATCAGGGCGCACGCATAGGCCGGACGCATAGTCGGTCGGACGACAGCAACGATCGCAAGTGTCGCACAGCATTGGGTGCGTATCGATCTGCGACACCTGCGACACTTACCGAACATGCCAGGTGAGCAGAAATTCCGCGCCGCCGCGTGCCCCCCCAACTATTGAACCAGGTCGCCAGAAAAGTCAGTTCCATTCACGATCAGCTCAACATCCTACTTATATATAATTCGCTAAGTATGTCTGTGTGTGTTTGTCACGAAATTCATAGCTCGAGTCACAGTAACGATAGCGCAGTGGTTCTTACATATGTTATAGGGGGTGGGATGGGGACACAAGTGGTACGTGATAGGAACTGATAACGACTGATAATAGCTGATAAGAGGGGCTAGAAAGCGAGCATCGCCAATTTCGTTTTGCCGTTCATATTGGTAAAAGAGCGTCTATACTTACAAGTCTTATGTGGGGCGGTCCCGGGACATTGGTGGTACATGATTGGAAGCGATAGCAACTGATAAGGGCTGATAAGATGCTAGAACGCAAAAGTCGTCGATTCCGTTACCCAGCTCGCGTTGACACCAGAGCAACCATACTTACAAGAGTTATGTGGGATGGGACGGGAACATTGTTTGGGTGATTGAAAGTGATTGCAACTGATAAGGGCTGATAAGGGGCGTCAGAACGCAAAATCGTCAATTCCATTAGCTGGCTCGCGTTGACACCAGAACATCCATACTTACAAGTGTTATGAAGGGATGGGACTGGGACATTGTTGGTGGGTGAGGGTGTAATGAAGAGGGATTTTGCAACTGATAAGGGTGATAAGGCGCGTCAGAACGCAAAAGCCGTCGATCCCGTTAGCGCTGACGCTAGAGCGTCCCTACTTACAAATTCTATTTGTAGTGGTACGTGCACATTGTATCATTGTATGACCAGCTTACTTAATAGCAGTCGATTGCATAAACTCAATCAAGTCTTCAGCAAATGATAAGTTTCATTTCTATCAAGAAAGCCCAAACTCATTAAACCGCTAATCCTTTCGGGGTTCTAAATAATGGTGAATGTAAATAAATGATAAGCATTAGCTCCTCACTTATGTAAATAGGCATATTTCGTTTTCATTTTGAGACTGACAGCAATCCTATTCACCGCTAAATTATCTGAATTCAAGAAAAATGCTGGATGTTTACAGTTGTGAGATAAATATGCCAGTTCAGCTCCAGACGTTATCACGCGTATTCTCGATGGACTTCAGCGAATGGGAAAGGTGTAACACATTAAAGGACGAATTCACGATCAGAGGGAAAATCGAATTAGGAAGAATTCACCTGGTTGAGGGACCCGCGGAGCTCCTAAGTGTGCGAACTGAAGCACAATTTGCACAGGAGGAGTTGACCTCGTTGACCTATTAAGGTTTAATCCCGCCGCGGCTGGTCAGTGCACGCCCACCGATCATCTGATCACTCGCCGCAGGTCTATACGTGGTGAGTGATTAGATAGGTGAGAGAGCGTAGCGTTGAAGAGGGCACAGCGATGATAGTCGCATCAATGCTCAAATCAACGGGCAAGGAAGTGGTCCCATTTCTCAGGTTCTGGGCCGTTTCGCATGGTTTTTCCTTCTTTAGTGTACCACTCACCATCGCTAACTTAATTTGAAATGGGTTGCCTTTCCAGTGTGAATTCGTTCTTTAAATAGTGAGGTGGTTATTGGACGACCTCGTGCTGATATTCCATGGGTCCTCCAGTTCCGCTAAAGACTGTCATGTGAGGGCGCACGCATAGTCGGTCGTCCGACAGCAACGATCGCAACTGTCTGACTGTCTAACTGCATCTAATCGTCGAATACTCAGGCAAGTCCGACGATCGATACGCATCCAATGCTGTGCGACAGTTACGATCGTTGCTGTCGTCCGACCGACTATGGCCGGACGCATAGTCGGTCGGACGACAGCAACGACTGCAAGTGTCGCACAGCATCGGGTGCGTATCGATCTGCGACAGCAGCGGTCGGACGACAGCAACGACCGCAGGTGTCGCAGATCGATACGCACCCAATGCTGTGCGACACTTGCAGTCGTTGCTGTCGTCCGACCGACTATGCGTCCGGCCTATCGTCGCCCGGTGGATCAAGCGCGCGATAGCGGGCGGTGCAAAACTGGTAGTTATTATTGCTTCAGTTCAACATCGTTGGACTAGTTGATTAACTTTTATTTCTTGTGTTATTATGCCTCTAGCTTAGAATTGGAGCGTGGTTGTCTCCAAGTTCAAATCACTATATTGGGAAGAGGTCAAGCCGTGCATATGGGTCCACTCCATCAGGGGAAAGTGTTTTGTTGCAGAGCACTGAAAGCTGCTCAGACCATGGCAAATACTTTCTGTCATCAAAAAAGATGTCCAGCTGTTGAGAGCGAAGTACATAGCATAGCTAGAACATACTCTCTATTTCGGAAAACGGAAAGAGCACAGTGCAGACCACACACCACAAATTACAAAAGAAGAAAGTGTCGTTTTCTTTTCTTTTTTGGGCCTCGTCACGGTGGCAGTGTGTCGACTGCATGGGCGCTCTACCCGTTTTCGGTTTTCCGAAGTAGATGGTACAGAGAAAGTGATCCCGCAACTGATAACTAGAATAACTAATTATTAAATTTACCAGTTTAGCTCCGCCCGCTACCGCGCGCATTGATAGAACTGACAATCGATGAAGCTTTAGGTTTCACCGCTAAATTATAGCTGCTTCGTTAAATGTATTACTGTCCGTTGCATAGGCTTGGCTGTATCTCACTGTTTGATAAGCGCAGTGAAGTGCACAGCTAAAGTGATGATGTAAACAACCACTATGCGTCGAGTATCGAGGTAATTTAGCGGTCGAATATCTCAAAACGGAATGCCCAGTATTCATTATCATATTTATTCGAGCATCCCATTCATCCTCAAGAACTCTAGAAGGTGTAGCGGTCGAAAGGTGTTTGAGTTTACAATTACAACGCTGATGAAATGATATTGAAATGAAAGGCATTATCTACAATCTGCTCTCTTTTCTATTTCAAGTGCTCTCTACGTTCGTACGCATATCGTTACTATCAGTCCTCATCAGTCGTTATCACTTTTTGACCCCCACCAAATATGTTCCCGTCCCACCCCCTATATCATGTCCCAAAATCAGCTCCTGACGACTGCTGCGAAGCGCACTATGAATTTCGCGACACTTGCGTTCTAGCGCCTTTTATCAGCCCTTATCAGTTGTTGATCACTTTCTTTACCCCACCAAATATGTTCCCGTCCCACCCCTATATCATATCTTGAAACCAACTCCTGACGACCACTGGTGCCCGAGCTATGAATTTCCGGTCAGACAGACAAACACATACACACACACACACACACACACAACCGCTTAGCCGATTATATATAGTAGGATCTCATTGCCTCCCGCTGAAGCGATTCTAGACACGCCTTTTATCGCAGAGGGTTCCAGTGGGCTCCCTCCATTTCATCTATGTCGCGCTGAACCTACCTTACCTCCTTTACTGCTTGATCCACACTACCATCGCGGCCAGCTCCCAAGGTATCAGAAGCCACATTTTCGATGGTTTTTCCATGGCCGTCCACGATCGCTCTGTGCCTTCTCCAGAAGGCGGGAAGTTGGTCTTCTTTGATCTAGCGAACTCCTTTCACACCCCTTCCTGCTGTGCTGTTAGAAGATGGGCATACCAGAAGGCTGATACATGGTTAATCGTGAAACGTGAGTGTTCTATAAAAAGATATGCCAAAAAAAAAAAATTACGACCAAACGGTAGGCAACAGTTAGCTGGGAATGGCTGCTACCGGCGTGAATGGTTAGAGGCCAGCGTCAGGTTTAGGCCACCAAACCAATCTCTTTATCATCTCTGTGTGTAGTTACGCCCCCTTAAAGATGTTGCTACGCTCTTAGAATCCCAAACGGCGCGCAATAAAGCCTTTTCAACTTTTATGAATATGTGAAGCTCAGTCATACACATAGCTTTACTGGTTTTAGAATTTGATGACCCTATGCGCCAAACTCTTTTTGTTCTGACCGCAATGGCAATGGACGTGGTCAAAAAGGGTGCGTGACTATACAATCGTGGCAGTAAGTAGGTCGCCGCGCGGGCCGCCGCAGCCAGCAATATCGCGGCGAATTTGCAAAGAACTCAGCATCCAAGCATTGGGGAATGTAACGATTAGATCATGTTTCCCGTCATGAAACATGAAATAAGAACCACCTTAACCTTTAAAATGCAGTTTCGTTTTCGCTCGCCGTTATTACATACTTATCATATCATGCTTATGTTAGAGCCTTCCTCGCCGCTACTCTGTGTCTTGATACGCAATATTCTTTCCGATTGAACCAGATTATCACTCTCTGATAGAAATTCAGGAAACTGATTAATAAAGAAGTCAAATTAAATCCAAAAGGACAACCTTTACACGGTACAAAGTTTGTACTGCGAGGCTTAAATCACTGCAGGGATCTTACAGTGACGCTTGCTGGCTTACTGATGTCCAGCACTCTGGTGTTATCAGTCACCTAGCCAACTTATGGCATGGATGGCTCTC